TTTCAAGCAATATAATCCGTGGACAGACCCTTTCTGAAAACGATCGACATCTTTGTATGTGAGATGAATGTATAAGGCGCGATTCTTGCCAAAATTTTCTTCGCAAAACACCGCATTCTGTCACGAAGAGCGAGCCGTGAATGTCGCGTTTCTCGTTCCCAGTTTCCATGGTCTACGCATGGAACGCCAGGGACCATGACCTACCTTTTGACGACCAAAACGCTAGCATTTTAAGACTCGGGCTCTCCTACGGAAGCCCGAGTAATTATTCGAGTCGGGCGAATAAATTAACACAGCAACAAATCAGAAGCACTACCAGGTTTTTGGGTAGTGACATCACCGGACAGCATTATCGCCCAGTGCTTTCAGACGTCTTTCTCCCCGAGTGACTTAGCGAGCGGAGGAGGCGGCTGAAATTCAGGCAAATTCAAAGTTCAGTGTAGTTTAAATCAGCCAATAACATTCAAAGTTGTAGTTTAAATCAACCAATCTCAATTTCAGAGCGACATCAACCAATTTACCTCTCCTTTGTCAGTCTTTTAATGCAAATTTCCCTTTTCTTTCATAACTTGGCTATTATTATTTCCTCGGAAATTATAATTTTTATGATTAATTGGTAATAAGACTTCGTGTCGTACAATTCGGTCTGTAATCATACTCGTGATAACCAAATCGAACTTCCGTTTAGCGGTCGTCCGATTTTCTTATCACTCGTATGATTACAGACCGAATTGGTCTCTACTCAGTCCTATTACCATAACAAAACGAGTGAAAATAACGACGCGTTGATCGATAAAGCGTTGGCTCATCTTACTTAAAAATATAGAGCTCGTATCAATTAACAAAGAGTCTCAAATGTTGCATCCGGCGAGAAATATCCTTTGCAAGATCTGAATTCCACCGCTCGTGAGTCCAGGTTAGTAAGAAAATAATTTTCGCTCCTGTGTTTCTTCCGTTCGATTTTTAAAACGTCTTAGCTTAGAGATGCCGCCGTGGACAACGAAAGAGCGAAATCGTAAACAACGTGAAGGAAATCCACCAGAAACTGATTGAGTTGAGATTTCGAACGTCGAAAGCGCCAATGAAGTTATGCTTAGAGAATGTCAAACGTCTTCCTCGCCCATTGCAAGCAATTTCTCCTGCTTGAGCAGGAACCTTTGTCGCTAGCAACTAACGCATCAGCCCAATTCTGATCGAATGTTTTTGAAACCTTTTCCCCGACTGTTTTCTCCGTGGTGCTTCATTCGCACTTGCAAATGTACACAAACTTTGCGTTTCTTCGACGACATATTTAAAATTGAATCAACAATCTGCAAACGGAAAACGTTCCGAACACCTCGTCGACTACTAAACAATAACGTTTAAAAATGGAACCTACATGTACGCGGAACTTTTTCATGCAAATTTACTTCTCGAGACAACCCGTTGACAGTTATCAATTAGAGGTAATTAATTCAAAGAAACGTTTTTGGTTTATAACTTTGCTTAGAATCAGTCTTTTTCATAGAAATTTTTTTTAAATGAAAAATCGCAATAAGATCTCTCTGAAAAAACCAAAAACATTATTTTTTGGAAAAATAGTCAGTTTTTGGGTATACTGATACTTTAAGTCCAGTTATTTTTACTTAGCATTCTTTTGTGCAAAACACTTCCAGCGAAAAATTAATTGACAAATGAAATTGACATCAAATGCATCACGTGGGGCGTGACGAACTCACGCATGCTCGATGGAAAAGAAGACAGTTTCATAATTCAGTTTTCTCTCTCAATTGGCGAAGGAGACAACTGCTTGCAGGGTAAGAGGTGAGTCAATATCTCGTTAAATTCCACAAAAACATCTATCGTTAAGGCACCCAGAGATGGCTGACATGTTTTTAATGTTTGTCTTCAAAGTTCACACACGCTTAAAGTTCTGACTGGAAGGTGGAAGTGCCAATGTTTTCTTCGGAGAAAAGTCCAAAAATGGTTCCGCCGGACAAATGTCATTCGCAATCCCCTGGAAAGTGAGTGCTAATATTTTCATTTTCTTTAAAACAAAGTGTGTTTGGAAATTAATGCTTCTCAGTTACGAATAATTTTCGAAAGGTTATGGAAAAATAGTGCCAAGAAGTGTTATAATTGTAGCCATGTGTATTTTGTCTCTGAATATTCATTGTTTTAAAACTAAGGATGGGAAAACGCATTCAGTATTCAACGCGAATCCAATCATTGCTTGTTGTCAGAATTTAACTCCGTCGATTGACCGATCCAGCAAACGAAGTAGTTTAGGATTTTTTCCTCGAAACTGTTGGAATAATTAAGAATTATTCTCCTTACTCTCGGTTAATATTCTGTCACTATTCAATGGCGGCTCTGATGGAGGTGACTGTTGCTAATGTTATATCATCGGTCTTGGACGATATAACAAGATCCGTCTTCTGAGATAGCATTGTCAAGATCCGATTCTAAAACATTGCCAAAATGCCAGTTCACGCCATCCGTGTTACGCGTATGACATGAGATGATAAAAAGCCAACTATATCGCGGACAATAATCCCGGCTGTGTCGTCCTCTACCGGTACACAAGTAAATAACCATTCTGTTTGTTTGTTCGCTTGCGCTTGTTTGGTTTTTGTTTAGGTCGGAGTCCGGGACTTTTAAGTCGCGATGTGTTTGGTTCAGTTCTTGTGTCCCTGTACAGTAGGAAAGTTCCTGGCATCAGTTGGATAACATCTCGTGATCTAGTTTGAGAGACTTTATTCTTTCATTGTTGCTTTGAACAACTCGACGGAGACAGACTGTTCGTTGTCCCCGGGAGTTGGCTTGTTGGATTTAAAGTTGACTACCCCTAGTGAATGGGCATTTTTAGTAGCCCTCAGCTTGGTGTGTGCCACCATAGTTGCAGTTGTGGCTATAATAGTATCAAGTCAAGTCGAGTGCTAGTAAATGATGTGTATTATCATTTGTATTAAGTAGTGTTTATAACTTCAATAACGAGTCGGAAATACTAGCATTTTTGTATGCTAATCAAAATCCGAGTTTAAATAAAGATATTTATGTATGTATTACTGAGTGGAGAACGCGTTAAGAGAAAACAACAATGTAGAGTGTTGAAATGTTAAACTAATCTCACTGCTGTGCCTGCAAAGCAACGTTTGGATGTGTTGGTCTCTATTCCTCCTTGTTCTGATATATTTGAGATCTTAAGAGCTCTTCGACATCTGTTTGTCCTATTTTGTGTAGCAAATTCAGTAGCCCATGTTGAGCTTGCTCTATGGCAACTCTGAATTTGAAGTTATTGCAATTTTTTCTGAAATTTGGCGGCAGGTAATGACCTAGAACCTCTCCGACTACCCCAAAAATAAGATAGTATCAATAAAAGAACCAACTTTAATCTACTAATATCTGTAGGGTGAAAAGAACACGCAATTCTGAGGACCAAATTTACCAAATGTAAAGTTCTGCAACACTGCGTTTTTGTGGAACTCAATATTCAGTTTCCGAGAAATCATCATCTTAATTGACGTACGCGTCTGTTCGAATGTCAAAGGTGTTGTGTTACCTTATTTAAGTATAACAGTTAGGCTTTGAATGAAAATTTACATTTACCTTGGAAGAATTTGCCATATATTTGTTTCAGTTGCTAATTCAGTTCAGCCCTTTGTTAGGATACGCTTATGATTACTACCCGAAAGAAAGACCGTGATGTGATCTACCTCAGTAATTGCATTCTGAATCCTTGAATTGTGCCATCATGTAGTCAGTGTTTGTTGCTTATAGCACTTTCTTTTCTCCGCGAAAAAGAAATTATATACGATAAGACTTTTACATGAAATCAAGTTTGCAAAACTAACATGTGCTTTGAAATCAAGTTTGCCCCTTCTTTGAAAATAACTAAGACAGCATGTATTCCCATGCACAAAGGATGTCTATAAATAGTGTCTACAACTGATTTACTCTAGAACTGAATTAGTCGCCCACAAAACTCTTGAATCGTGGAGTTGAGCTGTCTGTTAAATTATTCTCAATGCAGCGTGAATGCATATGTCTGAATGCCCGTAATTATATACGATGTTACCATAACATATTAGAACTATCCCGCTTGATCATGGTATGCTAAGTCATCACCGATCCACTAAACCCTTCCAAAACGAAACTTAAGAATAATTAAATGTCGTTCCCATGGAATGAAAGGTGATGTTAGCGAAAGATTGACTAAAAGGATCGAGGAACTGGGTGAAAATGAAATTGAAACCATAGTTTTATCAACAAAACTGTTATATCGACGAACAAAATCAGGTGAATGAAGTGGTTGGCTTATTTCAGAACATACTGTTGACAAAACGACAAAACGACAAAAATGAAACTATTGCCGTCTGTCAGCGTCATCAGCTGTTTGTACAGTAGGATACAAATGTTTGTATTTCTGGTAAACAGTAGGATACGTTTTTATATTTTTGTGTGATTTATTCAAGGATTAGAAGAAAACAACACGAAATCCGGCGGCCACCCCAAAACGCAGACCATGCAGACTGCAGACTGCAGACCGCAGACCCTGCAGACCCTGCAGACTGTGCAAACTGCGTACTTTTTTTTTCTTATTCTTGTTTTTGCATTTACTTTTGACTCGCATATTTTTTGGTTTTGTTCATCCACAGGCAACGCAAACTCGGTCCCTATGGCAGTTTTGCTTTAATGGCGATTTAAACTGCGAGTGGTCCCTCTTTCGCTTAGTCCATCGTGCGTGACGCATAAGAAAACCTCGAGGAAAAAACTTCATGTGAACATTTTCTTCGTCGAGGTTTACTTACGGTCATGTTCAACTAAGCGAAATAGGGAATACTCCTAGTCTAATGGCGATTCTGTACTTTGTGTAGGAAACGAAGCGATTTTTGGGACGAAGTCGCTTAATTAGAGTCACCGTCCTTGCTTTGTTTTACGAATCACTTAAGAGGAGAATGAAGACTTAGAAAATCGAAAAAAAACAAGAAAACAAATTGGACAAAATAAATAAAACCACAAACCCGTCAAAAATTGATGCAATTTGCGCCCAGAATGTATGGAAGTTTATTTTTATGTTTGATATTAGTATATTTAGGACCGGTAAAGGGAATTTCCCATGGAAAGTTTATTAAACGCGTGAATCAACAATCAGATGCTGAGTTTGCGCCGCCTGTGGATAAATAACAAACGTTATGGGACATATTGAACACCATTTTGTCATTAGAGGCAGAAAAAGTGGGTCAAGTGTTAGAAAAAAAGTACTCAGTCTACACAGTCTGCATGGTCTGCACGGTCTGCAGTCTGCAGTCTACAGTCTGCATGGTCTACGTTTTGGGGTGACCGATGGCACATGGGCTTTTACACTGAAGGGAGATCATTATTATTCGGAGGAATTTTCTGAGATCGAGGGAGTTTATTCGGTTTTAAACGAATTATTGTTGCCAGGAGGTTCACTGGTGAAATGTGAGTAGTGATATTCGCAAAGGAAGCCCCAACGTCGTTGGTGTGTTAGCTTCTTGAGTTTCAATTTCAAGTTGTCCGTCCGAAGTGTAGAATTCCTTAGGAAATAATCTACTATTTGGCACGGAGGTTCCGTACAAATACTGCTGGTTATGTCGGTAATAGTGATTTTCTAAAACCGTGACAGATTTTATTCATTTTGCTTCCGTGACTTGAAAGAAGGAAGGGAGGCAGGAAGCAAGAAAGTAAGGAAAGAAGAAAGGAAGAAATCTTGTGGCAACTGTAAAACCCCACATGTTACATAGCATTGTGAATTTTTATTGCACACATCCAGCCCGGCTGGCTGCTTGTCTAAGGGCACACAAGGTATAAGCATGTCACTTTTCAGGGTATAGATCGTTTTTCACTGTCACGCAATAAAAAAAAGTCGAAATCCATTAAGCGGAAAAAGCTAAGAAATTGTGATGTTGTATAGGATAACTAAATAAGATAAAAAGGCTCAAAATCATGAGATAAGTATATATATTTTTCAACAAACTCGATCGTAGCCTTGTGTCACGCACCTCCATAACCCTGAAATTCAAACTGCCCTGGTTTCCAGACGAAGCACGCTATTAAGCTGTAAAATTGTAAACAGATATAAATATACCGCCTCTTATACCTGATGAGGATGAAAAGTTTGGAGGCTCTTTAGTTTTGGATTTTAGAAAGTGATGACGTCACGTGAAAACGATCCATAGTGTTTTATTTGGATTTTTGGTTCAGTTCTTGTGTACTGGTACACGGGGAAAGTAACTGAAATCGTTTGGATAGCATATAATGTCTTATTGTCCAGTTAGAGATACGTCATTCTTTGCTTGTTGTTTCCAGAAAATCCATGGTTGACAAAGGCATTCGCTGACCGTGGCAGTTGGCCCGATGTCAGCAACAGTGAATATCCCTAGTGCTTCTGTAGCATTAGCAGTCGTCGCAATGAATTGTGGAACGGCAATTAAAGTGGTCAGGAACGTCGCAAAACTGATTCAACATGATAAAAATTGGTGGACAGTGCGTTTAGAGAGGCAGTAATGTAGAGAACAGTGTGTTGAACTGTTTTCGTAGTTCATTTAGGATTCAATCACAGTAAACTGTAGCGCTTTGTTTTTCTGTAAAAGGATTTTTAAAAACGTAGTAGTAAAACACTGAATCAAGAATATCTCTAGAAATATTGGAGCGGTGTACAGAAATGACTAACGGCCTTTTAGTAAAGC